TTAGACCACAAGTATGGATTTAATTAACCCTACAATTAAAAATCATATTCCCTAATTATAAACGGTAACATTTCGATTAGATTTCTAATAAGAAAGTAGAAAATGTAGCTTGTCTGGGTGGTGTAGTTGGTTATTACACTAGTCTCATAGAGTGGAGGTCCCTAATTCAAACCTGGGCTCAAACATGTAAATTTGGTTCTAAGCTCTTCTTTTTTTTTTTTTTTTTACTAAGAAATTAGTGTTTGGTTGACGACTTATTAAAACATAACTATGGATTTAATTACTTCTCGAATTAAAAATCTCATTCCATCATTAAAAATCGTATCATTCTAATTTAGTTAGTAAAAAGAAAATAAAAACTGTAGTTGTCTGGGTGGTGTTGTTGGTTATCACGTGAATCTAACACATTAGTGGTCCCTAGTGCAAACCTGGGCTCAAACATATTATTTTGCTTTCCACATGTGTTTTTACCAGGAGATGTTTTGAAATTATATTGGTAAGTAATTTCCTTTCTTAATTATACTTTGATAGATTTTAGTGTATGTTTTGTACATGAGTTTACACATTAGAAATGAGAATAAAAATCATAGTTAGTGTTTGGTTGACAACTTTATAAAACACATGTATGGATTTGATTACCCCTATTATTAAAAATCACATTCCCTATTTATAAACGGTAATATTCCGATTATATTAGTAATAAGAAAGTAGAAGGTGTAACTTGTTTGGGTGGTGTAGTTGGATATCACGCTAGTCTCACACACTAGAGGTCCCTAGTTCAAACCTGGGCTCAGACATGTAAATTTGGTTCTAAGCTCTTCTTTCTTTTTTTTTTTTTACTAAGAAATTAGTGTTTGGTTGACGACTTATTAAAACATAACTATGTATTTAATTACTTCTCGAATTAAAAATCGTATCATTCTAATTTAGTTAGTAAAAAGAAAATAAAAAATGTAGTTGTCTGGGTGGTGTAGTTGGTTATCACGCAAATCTATCACATTAGTGGTCCCAAGTGCAAACCAGGGCTCAAACATGTTATTTTGCTTTCCACCTGTGTTTTTACCAGGAGATGTTTTGAAATTATATTGGAAAGTATTTTCCTTTCTTAATTATACTTTGATAGATTTTAGTGTATGTTTCGTAAATGAGTTTACACATTAGAAATGAGAATAAAAATCATAGTTAGTGCTTGGTTGACAACTTTATAAAACACAAGTATGGATTTGATTACCCCTAAAATTAAAAATCATATTCCCTAATTATAAACGGTAACATTTCGATAAGATTTCTAATAAGAAAGTAGAAAATGTAGCATGTCTGTGTGGTGTAGTTGGTTATCACACTAGTCTCACGGACTGGAGGTCCCCAATTCAAACTTGCGTTCAGACACGTAAATTTGCCTCTAAGCTCTTCGTTTTTTTACAAGGAAATTAGTGTTTAGTTGACAACTTTTTAAAACACACCTCTGGATTTAATTACTTCTCGAATTAAAAATCTCATTCCATCATTAAAAAAAAAATGTAGTTGTCTGGGTGGTGTTGTTGGTTATCACGCAAATCTAACACATTAGTGGTCCCTAGTGCAAACCTGGGCTCAAACATGTTATTTTGCTTTCCACCTGTGTTTTTACCAGGAGATGTTTTGAAATTATATTGGTAAGTATTTTCCTTTCTTAATTATACTTTGATAGATTTTAGTGTATGTTTCGTACATGAGTTTACACATTAGAAATGAGATAAAAATCATAGTTAGTGCTTGGTTGACAACTTTATAAAACACAAGTATGGATTTGATTACCCTACAATTAAAAATCATATTCCCTAATTATAAACGGTAACATTTCGATTAGATTTCTAATAAGAAAGTAGAAAATGTAGCTTGTCTGGGTGGTGTAGTTGGTTATCACACTAGTCTCATAGACTAGAGGTCCCAAATTCAAACCTGGGCTCAGACATGTAAATTTGGTTCTTAGCTCTTCTTTTTTTTTTTTTTTACTAAGAAATTAGTGTTTGGTTGACGACTTATTAAAACATAACTATGGATTTAATTACTTCTCGAATTAAAAATCTCATTCCATCATTAAAAATCGTATCATTCTAATTTAGTTAGTAAAAAGAAAATAAAAAATGTAGTTGTCTGGTTGGTGTTGTTGGTTATCACGCAAATCTAACACATTAGTGGTCCCTAGTGCAAACCTGGGATCAAACATGTTATTTTGCTTTCCACCTGTGTTTTTACCAGGAGGTGTTTTGAAATTATATTGGTAAGTATTTTCCTTTCTTAATTATACTTTGATAGATTTTTGTGTATGTTTCGTACATCAGTTTACACATTAGAAATGAGAATAAAAATCATAGTTAGTGTTTGGTTGACAACTTTATAAAACAAAAGTATGGATTTGATTACCCCTATTATTAAAAATCACATTCCCTATTTATAAACGGTAACATTCCGATTAGATTTGTAATAAGAAAGTAGAAATTGTAACTTGTCTGGGTGGTGTAGTTGGTTATCACGCTTGTCTCACATACTAGAGGTCCCCAGTTCAAACCTGGGCTTAGACATGTTTATTTACTTTTAAGCTCTTCATTTTTTACAAGGAAATTAGTGATTGGTTGACAACTTTTTAAAACACACCTCTGGATTTAGTTACTTCTCGAATTAAAAATCGTATCATTCTAATTTAGTTAGTAAAAAGAAAAAAAAATGTAGTTGTCTGGGTGGTGCAGTTGGTTATCACGCAAATCTAACACATTAGTGGTCCCTAGTGCAAACCTGGGCTCAAGCATGTTATTTTGCTTTCCACCTATATTTTTACCAGGAGATGTTTTGAAATTATATTGGTAAGTATTTTCCTTTCTTAATTATACTTTGATAGATTTTTGTGTATGTTTCGTACATGAGTTTACACATTAGAAATGAGAATAAAAATCATAGTTAGTGCTTGGTTGACAACTTTATAAAACACAAGTATGGATTTGATTACCCCTACAATTAAAAATCATATTCTCTAATTATAAACGGTAACATTTCGATTAGATTTCTAATAAGAACGTAGAAAATGTAGCTTGTCTGTGTGGTGTAGTTGGTTATCACACTAGTCTCATAGATTGGAGGTCCCCAATTCCAACCTGGGCTCAGACATGTAAATTTGTTTCTAAACTCTTCGTTTTTTTACAAGGAAATTAGTGTTTAGTTGACAACTTTTTAAAACACACCTCTGGATTTAATTACTTCTCGAGTTAAAAATCTCATTCCATCATTAAAAAAAATAAAAAAATGTTGTTGTAAATTTGCTTCTAAGCTCTTCGTTTTTTTACAAGGAAATTAGTGTTTAGTTGACAACTTTTTAAAACACACATCTGGATTTAATTACTTCTCGAATTAAAAATCTCATTCCATCATTAAAAAAAATAAAAAATGTAGTTGTCTGGGTGGTGTTGTTGGTTATCACGCAAATCTAACACATTAGTGGTCCCTAGTGCAAACCTGGGCTCAAACATGTTATTTTGCTTTCCACCTGTGTTTTTACCTGGAGATGTTTTGAAATTATATTGGTAAGTATTTTCCTTTCTTAATTATACTTTGATAGATTTTAGTGTATGTTTCGTACAAGAGTTTACACATTAGAAATGAGAATAAAAATCATAGTTAGTGTTTGGTTGACAACTTTATAAAACACAAGTATGGATTTAATTAACCCTACAATTAAAAATCATATTCCCTAATTATAAACGGTAACATTTCGATTAGATTTCTAATAAGAAAGTAGAAAATGTAGCTTGTCTGGGTGGTGTAGTTGGTTATTACACTAGTCTCATAGAGTGGAGGTCCCTAATTCAAACCTGGGCTCAAACATGTAAATTTGGTTCTAAGCTCTTCTTTTTTTTTTTTTTTTACTAAGAAATTAGTGTTTGGTTGACGACTTATTAAAACATAACTATGGATTTAATTACTTCTCGAATTAAAAATCTCATTCCATCATTAAAAATCGTATCATTCTAATTTAGTTAGTAAAAAGAAAATAAAAACTGTAGTTGTCTGGGTGGTGTTGTTGGTTATCACGCAAATCTAACACATTAGTGGTCCCTAGTGCAAACCTGGGCTCAAACATGTTATTTTGCTTTCCACCTGTGTTTTTACCAGGAGATGTTTTGAAATTATATTGGTAAGTATTTTCCTTTCTTAATTATACTTTGATAGATTTTAGTGTATGTTTCGTACATGAGTTTACACATTAGAAATGAGAATAAAAATCATAGTTAGTGTTTGGTTGACAACTTTATAAAACACAAGTATGGATTTGATTAACCCTACAATTAAAAATCATATTCCCTAATTATAAACGGTAACATTTCGATTAGATTTCTAATAAGAAAATAGAAAATGTAGCTTGTCTGGGTGGTGTAGTTGGTTATCACACTAGTCTCATAGATTGGAGGTCCCTAATTCAAACCTGGGCTCAGACATGTGAATTTGGTTCTAAGCTCTTTTTTTTTTTTTACTAAGAAATTAGTGTTTGGTAGAAGACTTATTAAAACATAACTATGGATTTAATTACTTCTCGAATTAAAAATCTCATTCCATCATTAATAATCGAATCATTCTAATTTTGTTAGTAAAAAGAAAATAAAAAATGTAGTTGTCTGGGTGGTGTTGTTGGTTATCACGCAAATCTAACACATTAGTGGTCCCTAGTGCAAACCTGGGCTCAAACATGTTGTTTTTCTTTCCACCTGTGTTTTTACCAGGAGATGTTTTGAAATTATATTGGTAAGTATTTTCCTTTCTTAATTATACTTTGATATATTTTAGTGTATGTTTCGTACATCAGTTTACACATTAGAAATGAGAATAAAAATCATAGTTAGTGTTTGGTTGACAACTTTATAAAACACAAGTATGGATTTGATTACCCCTACAATTAAAAATCACATTCCCTATTTATAAACGGTAACATTCCGATTAGATTAGTAATAAGAATGTAGAAAGTGTAACTTGTCTGGGTGGTGTAGTTGGTTATCACACTAGTTTCATAGATTGGAGGTCCCTAATTCAAACCTGGGCTCAGACATGTAAATTTGGTTCTAAGCTCTCTTTTTTTTTTTTTTACTAGGAAATTAGTGTTTGGTTGACGACTTATTAAAACATAACTATGGATTTAATTACTTCTCGAATTAAAAATCTCATTCCATCATTAAAAATCGTATCATTCTAATTTAGTTAGTAAAAAGAAAATAAAAAATGAAGTTGTCTGGGTGGTGTTGTTGGTTATCACGCAAATCTAACACATTAGTGGTCCCTAGTGCAAACCTGGGCTCAAACATGTTATTTTGCTTTCCACCTGCGTTTTTAAAACACAAGTATGGATTTAATTACTTTTCGAATTAAAAATCTCATTCCCTAATTAAAAATATGAAATTTGCATTCTCTCAATTTAATGATATTAATTAAAAGATTGACGAAATAGTCTTACGAAATTCAGCGATGATATCCGTCAGATTGCTGGAACACTAATTAGCTTACGGAAAGAATAGACTAAGGCAGACAGCGAAAAGAACAACACACAAGATGTTTTCCCAGTTCGATACAGTGTGTATCTACATCTGGGGGACGATCACATAGGCGTCCAATCCACTAACAAATCATCAAATGTACAAAGGTAGAAAACAGTAATCTCACCCAAGTGCCCCACACAAGGTACATACCCAGTCTACACTGATTTAGTGGATTGTTGAAGATGGAGAGCCTTGCATACAGAAGTCCAATGAAATCCCTTCACTTGGAGAGCTAACTCTGATGCAGTCCACTTCAATGACGCTGTTCAATGTTGTTCCCACAACCGTGTGATCTTAGTGTCCTTTTCGTTTAAGCAATGATATCTCTTCTCAAGTTCTTCATCATAATCAACAAGAACAAACTGTCTTGAGAAGAGGCATGTTAATCAAAGATATGTTCTCTTAGTATGCGTCGGAGTGTTTCTTTCTTCTCAAAAGCGTAACCCTACTTCTTGATCGAATAAGAGTACTTATAGTTCCATAATCAGAACACTCTCCAAATATATCTCTGATTGTAGATGGTAGGACGATATAAGAAGAATGTAATCTTAAAGATCCGGTCCATACCTTTCCATGACAGATACGCTGATCTTCTTTCCAAAAACTGACTTCTTAAAACGCGTTCTGTAAAACGGAAACATCTTCTTAAAACAGATCTTCAGTGTTAGTCCCTCTGTTGCTGTATCTGATCAATCAGTCCTCTGTGGAACAAACCGACACCAAGCTAACCCTATCTTAGTTTGCCATAATAATATTGTCAATTATATGTTGGGGTTTTTTGACAAAATTAAAACACTAACAAACTCCCCCTTTGGCTATTATTTGGCAAAACAACTCGACTACTTATAAAAACACAAACTAGATAGGACAATATAGAAATGCATAGAAAACCAAATATCTGATTACAAAACATAACAAAAACACAGCATACAAGTTATGCTGGAACAGAGCAACATTCTTCATAAGGTGGTGCCATTACAATCAGTCGCCCAGACAAGACCAAAAAGGTACAAAAACATCAACAAAAACTCCCCCTGAGTTCCACACTCCCCCTTTTTGCCAATATTAGTCAAAGCACGGCTAAACATTGGAGGGGTTCTCACTGTCAGACTTAGCAGCATCAGCAGCAGTAGATTCAGTCAAGCTCAAGCGGAGAAGAACGGTAGCCAATTCAGTACGGGCCCCTGTCAGCTGCTTCGCAATGATTCCATGAACAGTCTCAAGTTCAGATACTCGGGCTTTTAGACGAAGAGAGAGTTGAACATCTTTCGCATGTGGCGAATCATCAGCCACCATATCAGCATCAGAAGTGGAAGGAGCAATCACCGGTGTAACGTCTCGGATGTGACCTCTAGTCAGAAGTCGAGGATCAACCGTATAAAGAAGAGTCGGACTGATCACTTCACTAGGCATTGGCTCAAGGCCCTGCGATGTTAGAACTCCAAATATCAGATTAGGGAATGGCAATCGTACCTTCTGCTCTCGAGGATGGATCAAAGAGAGGATATGATAATAAATCCAGGACCCCAGATCAATAGACATCTTTGTCCCAATTCGAAACAAGAGAGCTGCCAATTGCTTGCCGACCATATGAAAATGAGCTGATGGAAGCCAGTTGTGAAGTGAAAGACGGTGCAAGATGACATATTTTGTTGGTCCCGATAGGGTGGTAAAAAGTCTATTCACCCCCTAACCTCATCCTTCTAACATAAACTTCTCCAACTCCTTTCAAAGCAACCTAGAAATATCTCAAAAATTATTATATATTTAGGGGTTAGAAGTGAAACACACTCAAGAGAACAAGCATGGTTTATTGATAATACTTAATAAAAAAAAAATAACTCACTAGTTTTATCAAAAGTCAATGAACAAGACTTAACACCCTCACAAGGATTCAAAATTCACTCATTGCACTCATAGTGTTTAAGGTGTAGTGTATCAAACTCTCCATTCAAAACATAGCATGTAATCCCATAAGCTTGCAAGTAAATCAAATCTCCACCACTAACAAACATGAGTTAAACCATGAATCAAAGGGTCTTTATTGAAGGTTGTAACTTGGCTAGGGCAAAGGGATATGGTAAAAGGAATTTTTAGCTTATCAAGTTGAAGGAATCACATAAGCCTTTAACACACAATTTGACCCTAAGCAAATCACAAAGCCTTGAACAACTTTCATTCCTCCATTGCCTTCCCATTTTATTTTCATGCTTTTTTATTTTCTTCATCATTCAAACCATTTTGATGCCTCTAGTATATAGCTTTATTCAAACTCTTCCTTCTTTTTTTCTTTTTTTTTTTTCAAAATTTTTTTCTCTCAACACTTTTCCTCAATCCTCCTCATTCTTTAACTTTTGCAAACTTCCCAACTTTATTTCTCAATGAAGGAACATTACTTCAAATAAAAAGAATCATCACTTGGATAAATTAATTCAACTCCCAATAATAAGAGCTATAATTTCAGTTTCCAATTGCATCCTGAACCCACAGTAAACAATTTATTATCCATAAGAACAAGGAAAACTTTGTGTAGATAGTCCAATATGATTCCTTCAATTCAAGGGTTCAAAATTTATTCAGGGAAATTAACAAAGAAAGGGAAAAATGGCTTATAATGTGGTAATTAAAAGAAAAGAAAGGCTAAAAGCTCAAAGTGGCTCACTAAGAGTTAAAATGTAAGGTAAGCTTTCTGGCTAAAAGTGACTCAACCTAGGTGCCCTTTTCATCTTCATGTTCTAACTCACTTGAATGTGGTCTTAAAATGCATTTAAGAGCAAGTTCTAGCATACACAAGCCATGCCTGATATCACACAACAAATAAAATTGAGCAAAGTGTTGCTCTTTAGGCTCAAAAGCTCACCAAAAAGGTCAAATTGCATCAAGTCTTGCTCATTTTCAATCAATAAAACTAACAAGAATTTTTAAAATATAGGTTTTTTTGTATAAAAGAACAAGAAAAATTAAATAAAATCATGCTTGCTTCTCTCATGTGTTAAAACTCTAAACCAAAAATATATCCTAACTTAAGACATATACCTAAATAACAAGAAAGTAATCAAAACAAGTCATCAAGTCCAATACTACCATTGTTTACCCATCATCAGTGTGCAATACTCTTCCCCTCACTTAATTCACGCATTGTCCTCAATGTATGCACACATAAAAACTTCACATATTCACAAAGAAATTGAGCATATTCTAAGAAGACTTATTTGAAAAAAAAAATAAGTAAACAAATAAAGAAAAAACCGGATTATTGAATTGGGTTGCCTCCCAAGAGCGCATTTGTTTAACGTCGTTATGCCCGACGTAGACCTGAATGGCTCACAAAAACATCTTCAAAAACATCCTGCACTAGGGAATCCACATGATAAAGAGAATGATAATCATCAGGATACTTCACTGCATCCGAAATATTAAATTTAGCAATTTCTCCATTAAACTCAACAGAAAGAATACCCTTATCAACATCTATCTTTGTTTTAGCAGTTTTCATAAATGGTCTACCTAACAGAATTGGAGTTGATTGATCTATTGCATCATCATTCATTTTCAAAACATAAAAATCAACAGGAAAAACCAGTCCATTAACTTGCACTAAAACATCCTCTACGACTCCAACTGGATGCACACAAGAACGATCAGCTAATTGGACAACTATTCTAGTTTCTTGCAAAGAATTTATATTTAAAGCTTGATAAATGGAAAATGGCATGACATTTATTGATGCACCTAAATCTTACATGGCACGCTTAATCTCTTTATTACCAATTATACAAGGTAGGGTGAACATACCTGGATCCTTGCACTTTTTAGGTAGATCATTACTTATCATGGCTGAAACATTCTTACCCAATATGATGGTCTCCTTACTCTTCAACTTCCTCTTATTGGTACAAAGTTCTTTTAGAAACTTTGCATTCTTGGGAATTTGCTTTATTGCTTCTAGCAAAGGGATGTTGATTTCCACCTTTCTAAAGGTTTCCAAAATCTTATTTTCATGTTCTTCTTCTTTTGATTTTGCTAACCTTGAAGGAAAAGGGGATAGAGATGAATTATATTCACCAAAAGAGGATTCAAAACTTACCTTGGATTTTTCATTGACGATAAACTCACTTTCTTCCTTTAATTTTTCCACTTTTTCCTCTTCCACTGATAATGGAGATTCAGGTTGAAGTTGCTTACCACTCCTCAATGTGATTGCATTCACACTCTCTTTGGGGTTCACCTCCGTTTGTGATGGTAGTTTCCCCGAAGCTTGGGCTTCCAACTTGCTAACAGATGTGGCTAATTGGGAAATTTGATTGCCCAATTGTTGAATACTTGCTCTTGTTTCTCGTTGAAACTGTTGAGTGTTATTAGCAAGTGCTTTAACAATTTCATCTAGAGACGTACCAGAGTTTGAAGCTTGGGGTTGAGATTGCTGAGGTGCTTGGAATTGTCTAAAATTTTGACTTTGAAACCGTGGTTGCGCTCCTTGGTTACCATAGCTCAAGTTTGGATGATCTCTCCATCCGGGATTATACTGGTTTGAAAAGGGATCATATTTTCGGTTGGGTTGACCAGGAAATCCACCTATTGCATTCAACTCTTGATTTGGATTTTGCAATGTTGGGCACATGTCTGTGGGATGCCCAACAAATGAACATATTCCACATGCTCCCGTAGATTGCATTTGTCCTACAGCTATTTGGCGCACAAGAGTAGTCAAATCTGAAATTTTATTTTCAAGTTGAGAAGTACTTACCTCGTTAACTCTACAAATAGATCCATCCGCACGTGTCCCATATTGTTGAGAATTCTCTGCCATCGTTGATATTAATTGTCTAGCATCAGCAGGTGTTTTATCAGCCAAAGAACCACCACTAGCTGCATCTACCATACTTCTATCCGTAGGTAACAACCCTTCATAAAAGTATTGTATCAAGTGTTGGTCTGAGATTTGATGGTGTGGACAGCTAGAACACAACTCCTTGAATCTTTCCCAATACTCATACAATGTTTCACCTGTACATTGCCTTATCCCATATATTTCCTTCCTAATATTAGTTGCCCTAGATGCGGGGAAGAATTTTTCTACAAATAGTTTTTTCACATCATTCCACGTGTTAACCGAATCGGGGGGAAGATTATAGAGCCAATCTTTTGCTTTATCTTTTAATGAAAATGGGAATGCCCTAAGACTTATATGCTCATCAGTCACCCCACGTGGTTTCATACCTGCACAAACTACTTGAAACTCTTTCAAGTGTTTATGTGGGTCTTCACCAGCCAAACCTCGGAAAATAGGGAGTAAATGAATCGAACCAGATTTTAAAGCAAAATCAACCTAAAGATTTGGTATTGTTATACATAGAGGTTCTTGTTTTAGATTCGGTGCATCTAACTCCCTAAGTGTTCTATTATTTGGTTCAGCCATTTTACTTACAACCTCCTCGTTTATTGGATCACGGGTTGAATTTACCTCTTCAGAACTCGAGGAGCTATTTCTTTTCTTTGTTTCTTTCCTTAGTTTCCTTGCGATTTTCTCAATCTCAGGGATATAATGCAATTCTCCTGAATGAGAGGAACGAGTTATGCAACACTAAGGACAACAGAAACAATCACAAAGAAAAACTCAAGAAACGATTTTAGTTCCCCGGCAACGGCACCAAAATTTGGCAGGGTTGTCGAAGCCCTACAAATTTAATATTGGCTCACTCCAATAATTTGTAGTAGTGGCAAGACCAGGTCGAATCCCAAGAGAACTAATGAGTTTCGTTTCTTAAATTAAAATAAAATGACTCAAAGTAGGGAAAATTAGGGGATTTGAGAAGAATAAATAAAATAGACAATAATTAATAACGAGTTAAGAGATATAGAATTCTGATTCAAGGAAGAATGAATGTCAAAGATGCGACTCAGATCATCGGCCTCTTACAAGTAAAGTTCAAATTCAAATACTTAGCCAAAGACAAATTAGGATAGTCATAACTAGCCTTTGATCTCCCTAAATTAATTGATTCAAACCAAGCATTCAAACCAACCTCCGCTATTGAATAAACCGGGGACGATAGCATTCCATATTCACCCAATAACATCATTACACATTAATGGAAAATAACTAAGCCTAAATCACAGATTGAGATAGCTACAACCTGCAACTTAGTCTTTCTGTCCTTTGTGTACTAATCACAGCAATATACTTAATACAAGCTACTCGATCCAATTGTTTATGACAATTACGGATCATAAACTCATAGATAGCAATAGGATAAAAACAAATAAACTAAGTCGTCAATTTAATTTGTTATCAGTCTACCTGAAAAATTAACATTGAAAGAGCAGGAAGTACATGAATCCAACAAATTAATTAAATAAAGCCTCCTTAAATTCACAACTAAAACTTCAATCCCTTGAATCAGATTAAGAAAATTTAGCTAAACATAGATCAAACTATTCTAAAATATTAAGAATATGAAAGAAACAATCTGCCCAAAATACATCAGAATAGCTCTCCTTTTATAGGGTTCCAAATCAACAATCTTCCCTAAAATTTATGCTCTTACCGCATCTTTCTCTTCAACTTCATCTTCAAAAAGTTTTGTTTAATTTCCTCCAGAAATCTTCCGCGAAAAGAGCCGATAAAAAACTCTCTTGCTCCTTAGCCTCTCTGCCTCGCGTCCGATCCGCAACCTGCCGAAACAAAACAAAAGCATAAATAAAATATATGAATGTACAGCACATCAAACATATGAAGTAAAGTAAAATGTAATTAGGGAAAAAGCAAAATGGGACCCACTCACTTTATAATTTAATTTAATAACTAATAAACTTAACTACTCTTTGAATATATTAACTAAGTTATTTAATCCTAATATAACAAAATATACTAATAATAATGAAATATAAAATATAAATAATAAAATTAACCTATAAAATATTATTTAAATCAAGGTATAAAATATGCTCATCACCCCCCCCCCCACTAGACTTTTTACCACCCTATCGGGACCAACAATTGGTATCAGAGCAGTTGTCTATTTGAGTCAATTTTGACTGCTAGATAGATCTTGAAAAATCAAGATGATGAAAAGAGATATGGCTCTTGCCCAAAATTTATTATTTTCTCTAGAAAAATTTGATGATTGGAAAATTCGCATGCAGGTACATTTGTCTGCACTACATGATGAAATGTGGGAAGTAATCACTAATGGTCCAATTGAAATCTTGCAAGTGAACACTGCTTTCGTACAAACAAGTGATACTCCACAGTATGTTTCAAAGCCTAAAGTGGAATGGACTCATGAAGATAGAACATCAAATAACTTGGATAATATTGCCAAGGATATTTTGTTCAAATCTATCGATGATACGATATTCCCAAAGGTCCGAAAATGCCAATCAGCAAAAGAAGTTTGGGAGACACTCATCCAAATTGGTGAAGGTGACGAACAAGAAAAGGATAATAAACTCACCATAGCATTAAATAAATTTTAGGATTTCAAAATGCTAAGTGGCGAGAATATTACCGACATGGAAACAAGATTTGCCAAAATCTTGGGAGAAATTAATGATCTTGGAAAAGACATTAATCAAAAGGAAATCTCACTCAAAATCCTACGTGGTTTACTGTCAAGTTGGGACATGAAAGTCACTGCCATGCGTGATCATAGAGATCTAAAGACTCTATCAACTGATAAGCTTTTTAGTGATCTAAAAGCCTATGAGTTTGAAATGAAGTCAAGGACGGAGGAAGAACACGAAGAAAAGAACAATGCACTAGTTGCTGAACAACCGTCCACGTCAAGGTCAGTAGATAATAGTGAATTACTAAATAACGAAAACATTGCTTTGTTTGTCAGGAAATTCAAAAGGTTCATGAGGAAAAACAATCACAAAAGTTTTCCTAAAGCTAGCACATCACGAACGTATAAAAAGGAAACCTTGGAGGACAATTCGAATTAATGCTACAACTGTAGAAAGCCTGGACATTTTATGGTCGAATGTCCTTATCCCAAGGTAAGCAAAAATCAATCTAATACCGTGCAGAAGGAAACCAAAGTCAAGGATAGGAGATTCAACAAGAAAGACAAAGAAAAGCTCTTATTAGTGACCCACTAGAAACAAGTGAGTCTGAGGAATCTTCTAGAAACGAAAGTGACAGTTCTACAGATGATAATGCACTATTTGGAATGAGCATGTCAAGCAATTCAAATAGTCAAGATTTATGTCTTATGGCACACAAAACAGATGATGATGAGGTAACTTCTAAATCCTTTGATTCTGTAAGTTCATCTTTCTCTAAAGAGTCTATCTTTCATATGATGAAGGATTGTCAAAACATGATGGACACTTACTCGCAAATCAAGGAGCAATAATTTACTGATTCTTGAAAAAGATCAACTAAATGAAAAATTGCAAAGTGCTCTATCTGAGATACGAGACTTGGAAGCCGAAAATACTCGACTTCAAGAAGAGTGTAAAGCAAGGGAAGTGAGAGAACACAACCTAAGGGATGGTATAGCAACATTTACTCATTCATCCAAAATACTGGATAAAATGGTAAATATGCAAAAATCCTCTGGAGATAAAACTGGACTTGGTTATGATCCATCGTGTTCTTAAGCCTCCGAGAAATTGACCAATTCTACTACTGCTTTAAATAATAAAGTCCAAGTAGTAAAATTTGTAAAAAGTCAAGATAGCACAATGAGACAAGGAATTGGTTACTAAGCTAATGCCAAAAACGTTACTGCAAGGCCGAAGCCTCAAAGAAAATTTAATTCGCCAATGCAGTCAAATAATATTCAAAAGTTTGTTCCTAAATGGAAAAATACCAATGAGTCGAGTGCACAAAGTCCTCATAGGAGAACAGGAAGAACTTCAAGGATTGGGGCAAGGAGATTATATCCCTCTGAACAAGATTGGTTTGATGATATTAAACCATGGACTAAGTCCAGATTTAATGCCTTTCATAAGCTCAAACAAATCTCTTCCCAAGTGCCAAAAGATCGAGTAAATTTTCAAAACACGGCACCAAAAACCTTTTCAAAAATTAGGTATGATTATAATGTTTTCAATGGTTACGAATCACCTAATCTTGGATCAGTAAGAACTAGGTGGATTTGGATACCAAAAAGGACTAACACTCAAGGACCTAAATTAAGTTGGGTACCTAAAAATGCATAAATTGTTTGCAGGAAATTTGGTACTTCGATAGTGGATGCTCTCGACACATGACTGGAAATAAATCTAGCCTGGTGGATTTTAAATATATCGAAGGACCAAAAGTTTTGTTTGGAGGAAATGATCGATACGGTACAACAAAAAGGAATAGGAACAATATCCCACAATGGTCTAAAAATAGAAGACGTATCTTATGTTGAAGGATTTAAATTCAACTTGCTGAGCATAAGTCAATTTTGCGATAAAGGGTATCTTGTAGAGTTTTTCAAAGACAAGTGTCAAGTGAAGAACGGATCCACAGGCGAGATTGTTCTCGAAGGAATAAGAAAGAAAAATATGTATGTTGTAGAATGGAACACAACCAAAGACTCTGTGTGTCTTGTAGCAAAAAACTCAAGCAATGTGGGTTGGGAATGGCACAAAAAGTTGAGTCATCTCAACTTCAAAACCATTAACAAGCTCGTGACGAGAAATCTAGTCAAAGGACTACCCAACATCACCTACAGAAAGGATCAGATTTGTGATGCATGTCAAAAGGGAAAACAAATCAAATCATCTTTCAAGACAAAAACACACGAATCAAGTCAAAAACCTCTTAGTCTACTACATATGGATCTATTTGGTCCAGTGGAGCTAGTAAGTATGAGTGGTAAGAAATATACTCTTGTTGTTGTTGATGATTTTTCCAGGTACACATGGACGATATTTCTTGGCAAGAAAAATGAAGTAAAGAAGAAGCTACCAGAACTTCTCAAACAACTTCAAAATGAAAAGGAAGTCAACATTGTCAAAATTCGTACCGATAGAGGAACAGAGTTTGCGAATAGCGTAATTCAAAATTACTGCAATACTTAAGGAATTATGCATCAACTATCAGCCGCAAGAACTCCACAACAAAACGGAGTTGGTGAAAGGAGAAATCGAACGCTTAAAGAAGCCGCACGAGTAATGATAGCTGCAGCCGAGCTACCTAAACGCTTTTGGGCCGAAGCAATCAATACTGCTTGCTATACCCAAAATAGAAGTATAATCTACAAGCTGCACGATAAGACATCTTATGAATTGTGGAAAGGGAGAAAACCTAACCTTAGTTATTTTCATTCATTTGGTTGCAAATGTTTTGTTCTTAATAATGGCAAAATCTATCTAAGAACATTTGATGAACGTGCAGATGAAGCAATATTCTTAGGATACTATTCCACCAACGGAGCATTCAGAGTATTAAATAAATCAACAATGGTGGTTGAAGAATCCATTCATGTTGTATTTGATGAGTTCTAGAAAAGAAAGGAATCTCCAACAGTCAGTATCAATGTTCCTAAACACGTAGATAATGCTAATGAAATTTCTGAAGATATTTTGCAGGGAAATAGCAATCTAAACTGCTCTGGAACAGAAACCGATGTGGAAGATGAAATTAGGGAAGAAGTAAGGGAATGTGTTGGGGTTGGAGTTGGAACTAATTGCGAGGATCAACGAATGGATCAAACCGCAAATCCAAATCCTTCCACCTCACACGAACCCTCTACTTCTCAAAGCAATTTTCAACCGGATTTGAAGTGGCTATGAAATCATCCACAAGATCAAATCATTGGAGAAATTCATGATGGCGTGAGAACTATATCTGCATTACAAGAAACCTTATTTTCATATTTTCTTTCTCAGGTTAAACCGAAGGACATAGATGAAGCTTTAAAAGATCCTAGTTAGATTGAAGCAATGCAAGAAGAGCTAAATCAGTTCGAACGTAACGATGTTTGGGAGCTTGTTTCAAGACCATCTAATCACAACGTGATTGGAACAAAATGGGTCTTTAGAAATAAAGCAAATGAAGATGGAATCGTTGTTAGGAATAAAGCAAGGCTATTCGCAAAGGGCTACTCACCAGAAGAAGGAATAGATTTTGATGAGA